GGGGCTGGGGCCGCACACGCCGCCCCCCCCCCCCCGAGCCCTCGAACGGACGGGCCCGAGAGACCCGGGCGCGAGTCGAGGGGCAGGTGTGCGGCGCGAGGCCGGATCTCACGCAGCTCCCCGTGGCCGGGCGTTCGCGAGCGCGGCCCTGCGCGTTTGCCCACTCCGTCCGGGCTCGACGTCATCGAGGAGCGACCCCCGCGAGTCGGTGGGGCAAATGGCCATTCGGTTCGCTCGGGCGCGCCCCGGCATGAGGGGAGGGCGGGGCGGGGTTCGGCGCATTCCCTTCTCTGACTGCCGCGGCGAGTCGGCGCCCTGCTGCCAACAACACCGGGCGCTCGTTGTTGGTTATGTGCGGCCCGCTGCGCGGCCTCCGCCCGGTGGCGGCCCCGGCCACAACGCGCCCCAGCGCCACGCGCCCCGCCGCACCCCCTGCACCCCGTGGTAGGGCCAACCCCGGCCGGCGTACGCTGGCAATAGCTCTCCCGGAGTTCTTCCCGCCCTGCGCGGTCGCGCCCGCGCGCACTCGCCCCCGTCCCCGTCGGCTGGCGGGCAAATGGTTTCATGGCCCGGTCCAGCCGGGAAAAGCCCGCTCCCGCCTTCCCCCCGGCCCGCCGCAGGACCGTGTGCCCTTTTTTCTTTCCGCCGGCGCGCACGTACGCGCGCGCGCGCATTCGCGATAACCGCGCGCCGGAACCCCCACGGGGCGGCGGTCCAGGCGCCAGAATCCACGTTATCAAGTCACGCCTGGCGACTAATCACGCCATCGCACATTTCGATCAGCCCCTTGCCGGCCCGGGCGCGCCTCCGATACAGGCCACCCCTTCACGCCTGTCCGCCCCGGGCCGCTCTCGGTTGCACCTCCGTCTTTCAGTCACCCTCTGGCGTCTATTGGCCTCCCCGTCAACCTGGGCAATGCACGCACATGTGCGTGCGTGCGTGTGCGTGTGTGTGTGGGTGTGGGTGGGTGCGCGCAGCGAGGAGGCAAGAAGCCAGGGGAGGAGGGCCGAGTAGAGGTAAGTCCGCGCGCGGAGCGGGGGTCCGCGCACATGGGGCACGCTTGTCCTGTGCCCCGCGCCATTCCCCAGGGCCTCACTGCGCAGATGCATGAGTCGCATACTCCTCCGGGTGGAACAGGCGCAGGGTGTTGAGGAAGACCTGGTGCGCGAGGGCCCGCTCGGCGGCGTCCTTCTCCTCGTCCGACAGGAGCTGGTAGGCCTCCGGCCCATCCGGATGGCGGATGGCCGTGACAACCTCCAGGACCGGGTTCATGTGGACCAGCTCCACTCGATCGCGAACCACGGACAGCGGATGTGTGGCGGATTCCGGTCGGGTTTGGGGATAGTGGGAGCGAATCAAATGGTACCCCGCATGCGACCGACGAATCATGCACCAAGGGCCATCGGTTTCCAGCAGCAGCAGTTCAAGCGGAATGCGCCGCACCGTTTGGAGGTTGTCCTCGGTCTTGAGGGAGCTGTGTGTGCATGTGCGTGTGCGTGTGCGTGTGCGTTGGGGAACAGAGGCACGAGCAAACCCGAAGGCGAGAGGTCAGAGGGATCAATCGTCGGGGAAGAGGGAGAGTAGAAAGAACCGGATGGGCGGGGCCCCATCGCACGCACCAGCCATTCACGCCGAGGAAGAGCCCAAGCTCGATCAGCTGCTTGGCCTCCTCCCAAGACCCGGTGAAGGAATGGACCACACCGCCACCCGGGACCCGGTGGAGGTTCTGCTTCATGATCGAGAGGAAGTCATCGCAGGAGTTGCGGCTGTGAAGAAACATCGGCAGTCGATACTTTTCCGACAGGTCAAAGTGCCGCATGAAGACGCTGGCGTTTTCCCGGCCAAGGTAGTGAAAGAAGTGTCAGACACCCGGCCCATGCATCTTGGAGGGACTCACCCGGAGGACGCACTCCTTCTGGATGTTCTTGGTCGTGTGGCGCAGGCGATCGTAGTCTGCCATCGGCCCCGTAGGGGAGGGGGGGAGGGGGGGGGGGGGGGGGCATGGGGAAGCACATTCCCAAGTCAGCCGAGTGGCGAGCGTGGCGGAGGGACAGCGGCGAACAGGGAGGCGACAAGGGGAGAGACCCACGCACCAAGGCCACACTCGCCGACGGCGATGATCTTCCGGTGGGCTGGCAGGCCGTTTGCCAGAGAATGAGCCATTTGCTCCTGGTCCGCGGCCAGCAGGGCGTCCAAGGCGCGAAAGTAGTTGTTCATACGGGCATGGCCGCTCTCTTGCTCAATGCGCGCGTACGGGGCCAGCAGGCTGACATCGTAGTGCCCGGGAAACAGACCCTCGTAGGTCTCGGGCTTGCCCGAGCGCATGTCCGGCCGGGCGGCCACCGCATCTTTGGAGCTGCTTGGGTGCACGCCGGCCGTGGTCATCAGACGAGCTGGGCCAACATCGAGACAATGCATCAGAATACCAAGTCACATATGGAGGAGGTTCCCCCCGAGAAACCAGGAGAGTGACCGAGGAAGAGGTGTATGTGTGTGTGTGTGTGTGTGTGTGCGTGTGTGCGTGTCTGAGAGAGAGGGAGGGGGAGAGAGGGAGGGAGGAGGGCACGCGGACGCACGCTCGTCGACGCAAATGCGCAGCGAGGTCAGCAGATCGCGCAGACTGCCGGCCGTGGCATACGCCCGGTCGACGCCGGCGTCCCAGCCGCGTTGGAGCATCACCGGCAGGTCGCCCGGGCGCTGTTGGCGGCCTCGATTCATGCCGCGGTACTGCTGGTCGCAAAGATTGATACCAATGTCTGTTTCGCCCCCGCCAGCCCACCCAAAGACAGGCATTCGAGGCACAGGCGGGGAGGGGGGGAAGGAGGGATCGGCAAAAGGGAGGAAGGGCAGCCGAGACGCCGGGTGGTGTTAGACATGAAGTCGAGCGCCTGTGTGTGCGTGTCTTCGGCTGACACGCAAAGCCGTGCCGAGAGAATGAGCAGAGGCCCGAGACACGCACCAATCATCTTGATGCCCTGCTTGGCCGGGGGAAAGGGGAGGGACGACCGCAAGAGGGGGCTCGCTTGATCTGGCGCCTGGGTGGAATGGGTGCGCCCCCGGGGGGGCTGATCGGAAGCCGGGCCACAAGGACGACAGGACATGCTGCTTCGGAAGGCGGCCAGGGTGAACAGAGGCCCGTGACGGGAAACCTCGCGAAGGGACGGAAGGGCGAAAATATCGACGGCCAGGCGGATGCGGCTGCCGTTCAGTCGGGGAGACGGGCAGACCGGCGGAGGGAAATCAGGAGGAGCTGGGGGCTGCAAAAAAAGAGAGAAGCCGTGTGGATGATGCAGCACGGGACCTCCCCCCTGGAACAACGGCCCCTTTTGCCCGAGGGCTGACACATCCCCCTCCGCGCGCCTGGGCACTCGCGCCCACCCGGCGCCCGCACGCCGCTCCGTCGGCGGCGGCCTCGGCGCCGCCCGATCCTCCTGGGGGATCAGCCTGGCACCCTTGGCCGATGGCCCGGGCTGCCAACGGATCACGAATCCGCGCCGATCGCATCGTCGGCCCCGCTCCTCCTTCGCCCTGTCCCGGGTGTGGCCCCGGGTGCGGCCTCGGGTGCGGCCCCACCCACTGCCCCCCCCCCCCCCCCCCCGGGTCGCAACCGAGTCGGGCTCCGCTCGGGTCGGCTCCTGACAGCCATGGGCGGGAAGTTTGTTGAGCGTGTGTATTGTATGCGCCATACATGTTGCGGTTGTGGGTGGAATTGGGCACCGGAGCCGTTGCGTGTATGTTGCATCATCGCGAGAGCTGGCGGAAGATGCACGCTTCCATGCGCCCTGGCTCAGGCACCTGGGATAGTCTTGACGCTGCTGCTGCTGCTGCTGCTGCTGCTGTTCTTGTTGTTGTTTTTGTTGTTGCTGCTGCTGCTGCTGCTGCTGCTGCTGCTGCTCTTGTTCCTGTTGGTGGCGATGCTGTTATCCCCTTTTTGTGCCGTGCCCTTGGCCGGGAGGAGATACCGATGGACAAGGGGCGCGAGAGGAAGATGGGGGGGGGGGGGCGAGAGAGCGCCGCGAGATGCCGCTCTCGCCGGCCATCCTAGCAATGAACGGCCCGAGGCCCGAGGTGGGTGTCAGCGCGAGGGGCTGGCCCCCCTGGTGGCCCGATTCCTCTCCGCCCGGTGGACTTCCGGCCCATTGGCCGGCACGCCCCCTGGAGATCTCGCTACTCGCCCATGTCCACGTCCTCCTGGGTGGCGGTCGGCTCGGCCGTGGCAAGGAGGTGCTGCCCGCCCGCGGCAGCCGCGGAGGCGTTGCCCTGCCCGGCTCCGGGGGCCGGGGCTCCGCGCCAGGACTGGCCCGCTGGCCGAAGGTATTGCCCGTCGGCTGCCGTATCGGACACCGAGGAATCGGTCGAGCTGGAGGCGGCCACACCGCTGAAGGCCTGGTCATGCGGGCCCGGCTGCGACGAGCGGTCCACGCCCGGGCCCGGGGTGCTGCTGCCATCAGGCAGGGGCACGCCCGAGGCGAAGGTCGGCACACGCAGCGGGCCACTCCCGAGCGCCGGCTGCCCGAAGGGGCTGCCAGTCGAGCCGCTGCCCGGCATCCCCCCGCGGAAGGCCCCTCCCGCGGAGCCGACCTTGGTGGGATCCAAGTTTGGCCCCAGCCCGGGGGCGGATGCTGGGACCGACACGGCAGCGACCGCCGCCGCGGCCGCCGCCGGTGGTGCGGCCATCGCCGACGCGAAGAAATGCTTCGGCCCCGGGCCGATGCCCGAGCGCAGGGCCGCATCCACAAAGGCCAGGTCGCTCTTTTGCAGGGTGTTGTTCCAGGACAGGGCATTCCGGTCGCCGGCCCCGGCAGCCGGGGCTCCCGGGTCGGAGCGCCCGCCGGCCGGGGCCGACTGAGCCCCGGCCGCCGCCGGCACCCCCGACGAGTCCCAAGCCATGTCGAAGGCCGACTGCCGGGTCAATTGATCCATGCCGGCTGGCCGGAACGGATCCACGAAGGGGAACCCCTGGCGGAAGACCAGCTTCGGGCTGTGCCCGGCTGGGGGGTTGTCGCTGTAGGGCCAGCTGGCCGGGGCCGGTCCCTCGATGATCATCTTCTCACAGACTCGCGCCTGCCGGGCCATGAGCTCCAGGTGCGGGCGAATGGGAAACCGGGAGTAGTCTAGGGGGTTCCCGTGCCCGAGGGGGGGGGGGGGACGCGCATGGGTCGGCACATTGCGGCGGACATGTGCATGTGCACAAGTGGCCACAGGCAGGGACATGTGTGTGTATGTCAAAGGACACACATGGGTGCGTGCATGTGCGTGCGTGAGTTAGAGGGCTCCACGGCGAGAAGGTGCATCAGCATGGCGACATGGGCAACCCGACGGGCCACCGCGGGGGAGGGGGAGGAATGCACGCACGCAGCAGCGCCGCATTCACCAGGGCCGCCACACGGGCACACTCACTGGTGACGCGATTGAAGCCGGGCTCCCCTTCCACAGCCCAGATGTCCTGGACGTGTGTCGGGGCCAGCAGCGGCCAGGGGGGATACCGATGCGTGGGGATGGGTCCGCCGGATGCGTGGTCCGCGTCGCTGGGCGGCTGGGCCGGCCCTTCGACCGACCAGTCCCCCGGCTGGGGGGCATGCAGCGCCTCGGGGGCCATCCCGTCCGACGGGTGGGCCCCCTCGCCGAAGGACCGGCCCAAATAGGCCAGCAGACTGAACAGCCGATTGACATGCAGGAAGGCATGGCGATCCGACACCAGCAGGTCCTGGCTGTCATGGTTGAGCTTCTGCCCATAGTAGAGGGCCGCCGTGAGGTCGGGGAAGTTTTCCTGGCTGCAGGAGGGCCGCCACGAGCCCGGGCCCATCTCGGCGATGCGCCGGTGGATGTCCTCCGGCAGAGGGACACTCAGGTCGAAGATCTCCACCGGGGCCAGGGACCCGCCGCGCAGGTACCGTCGAACGTAGTCCAGAGCCAGAAGACGGAACTTGAGCCTGCTCCGCGGCCGGGGGGCGGGACACAGAGCAGCGGCCCAGCAGGCAGACAAGCGCCAGCGAGCGTGACAGCATGCACAAACACACAGGCGCACATGCACGGCAGCCGCGCCCGGGCCCCATATGGTCCGGGGTCACATGCGGTCAGTGGACCTGGCAGCGAGGCAAGGCGCCCGAGCACTCCTGGAGCAGAGCACTCCCCCCCCCCCCCCCCCCCCCCACCGGCCCGCTGGGCGAGTGTCAAACACGGCCCTGCCGCGGGGGCCTCCACGCACCTTGGATCCATGAGGACAGCTTCGGCGGCGCTGATGCTACCGGCCTTGGGGGGCCCGGCCGAGGTGCCGCCATCACCCGCCAGCCGGGGGGACGCCTCCCCGGCGTGGGTCTTCAGCTGGCGCAAAATGACCATCGCCTCGGCAGGGTACCCGGCGCAGATGAGGCGATTGACGGTCCGGTGGATGCGGGCCACTTCCATCTGCCCGCGCAGGCGTTCCAGATCGTGGGCCATTTGCAGCGGGACCGTGTGCCGCGGGGCGACCGGCGACCGGGGCTTCGGGCTGTCGGTGCTGCTTTCGGCGGGCGGCGGGCTCTCCGCGGCCAGGGGCTCCTGGCCCGGGCCGGAGGCCGGCTCTCCTTCGATGTTGTTGCTTAGCTCCGGGTAGGTCGACCGGAAGAAGGTCTGACATGGCAGCGGTCAGCAGGCGCGCGAGGGCCCCCCGGGTGGCAGGCCAGCCCGACGGAGGCCAAGCGACACGCCGCACAGGACCCACACTGGTGCGTCAGTCCCTCGGAAGCCATTGGCTGTGATGCCCCCCAGTGCCGGATTTGGCGCGCGTGCCCCACCGGGTGTTTTTGCATGAAGAGAAGCAGCTCCCTGCCCCGCCCCGCCCCCCCCCCCTCGTCGGGACTCCTCGCACCTCGGCCGCCTGATCCGCGCCGCGGTGGATCAGGTACCCCAGAACCAGGGACTGGGCTCCGACTTTCAACAGCCGAGCCTCGGTTTCGATGCGCTCGCCCGGACTGGGCAGGCTCTGGGGATTGCCCACCAGATGCTCGATGGAGGAGCCCCGGTCGCTGGCAGCCGCCTCGCGCGGGTGGGCCCCGGCCGAGCGCGCCTCGCCGGGCTCGGCTTGGCCCTTCCCCGGGCCATAGTCCTCCAGCGTGCGTGGCCGGTTCCGATAGATCCGGTCAAAGAGGCCGGCCAGCTGCTGCCCGGCGGTGCGTGGCTGCCCGGCCGGGTCCGGCCACACCTGCAGAATGGACCACACGCGTTCCTGCTCGGCCTGGGCTCGGTGGTGGAAAGGCGGCCTGGTCAGTCCGGCCAGCGAGCAGTGCCACCTCCCTCGCCCTCCCCACTCCCCTGTCGGAGACGCACCTTAACATGGGCGTCAATGTCGAAGACAAAGGGCCAGTTGCCGAAGTTGGCCACCACGCTATCCCCGGGCTGGGTGAACCCGACGGCGGGGGCCAAGAAAACCGACGCCGGGGGGCAGCCCCGGCCGTCGACATTACGGAAGTCGATTGGGCAGCCTACCATCGGGTCACCCGTCGTCCGAGGGGGCGAGGAACCAGGCGAGGCACGCGCGCACGCGCAGAGAAAGGCACAGTGAGTGAGGCGGCCCGCGAAAAGGCTGGTCCCGGGAGATCGCGGCTTCCCGCGCCCCCTCGGGCGGACATCAAGGCCCACACGCACCCAGGTATACGCCGTTCTTGGTGAAGAAAATCCGCCGCCGGCGGATATCATACCCGGCTCCAATCACATCGCCCACGCCGAAGCACGGCCCGAAGGTGGTGCCCGTGCTGCTTTGATTGTAGAAGTGCCCATTGTCGCTGTGGTAGCCGAAGGACTCGTTGACCCAGCCTGTGGCATGCGCCGCACGGGCCATTCAGGGCACATGGTCAGCCGGCCGGAGGGTCAGCAACTGCGCCAGGAGCCGACGCCGGGCATGTGCCCCATCGGCACCCCTCCCACCAACCCGCCTCCTGCGCTGGTGCCAGTCCTGCCTCGGCCCCTCTCTCCCCTCCCGGCGCATGAAAGGCAAGTGCTGGTCGGCTGCGGTGGGGCGCTCCCGTAGCACTGGAAGTGCCAGCTCCGCAAGGGGTCCCGGGCCTGCGCTTCCTTTGCGTGCAGACCCGGGATGCCCCGGGGCACGAACCGCCGGGCCGGGCCACCACGTGCAATGATGTTCGCTGATGCGGGCCAACAACTGGGCCAAAGGAATGGAGTGCACACAGCGGGTCCTCCAGACACCGAAGGCATGACGCACCTGGGAGACTTTGTTGCACGCACTTGTGCGAAGAGTAGCCGACACAAGTGGCCCTGGGGGTGGGGGCACGAGGCGGCGCACAAAGGACAGCATGTCAGTGTCCACCGGGGAGGGGCCCGAAGGAAAGATGCTGTCCATGATGATGGTTTACATACCCGGCTCCCTCGCATTCGAGGACCATCACCTCGAAGTAGTAGATGCCGCAATAGAGCGGGACCGTGACATTGCTGCGAATGCTGCGCGGCTTGTTGTCGGCATCTGGCCATCGGGCCCGGCATGCACCAGCGCGGGGAGGGGGGGGGGATCATTTCCCGATACAATGAGTGTGACCAGTGTCAGAATAGAAAGCAGAGGCCGAGAGAGAGAGACAGGCCGAGAGCCCGCAGGGCTATAGGTCCATGGTGGCAGGAAAGCGCTTGAGCCCCGCACCGGTCCCCATGGTGGCGCAAAGGCCACCCCAGTCGAGCTTGATGTTGGTGAAGGCCTGGTCGAAGGACCAGCTGGAGGGCAGGGTCTCCAGCAAGGCGGCCGGGTTGCAGTACCAGCGCTCGGCCGGCGGGTCGCCGGAATCCAGGTCCACGCTGTCGACGCTGGGCCCGACCAGGTCTTGGCTCAGGCCGGAGGGAGGGTTTTTGTCGCTGGCCGGCATGGCCAGCAGGTGCTGCAGGTACGACGGCGGGCTGGTCAGCCGAGGGAAGACCGACACCGCCATGTGGACCTTGCGCACGCGCTCGATGCGCTCACGTAGCTGTGCCGGGATCGCCGAGTCCTGGGGCGGCCGGGTCTGGGCATGCGACAGCCGTGTTGGCAGTCGGTGCGTCGGCCACGACATGCTTCAGTGTCGAGGGCTGCGGCGGGAGGTGCACCGGCGAGCAGGGCGACGGCGGGGGAATTAAGTTGTCCCGAAGGGGTTCGGGCAGCAAGAAGCACCTGCGGGCAGTCGCGTGGAAGGGCCAAACCAGCCCGGTGGTCACGGCGAAGGCGGGAGGCAGTGGCGAAAAGGCGACCGTTGCGCGGGCGAGGGAGTGCAGCAGACAAGAAAGGAATGGGCAATATTGCAGGGGGAGGAGAAGGGAGGGGGAAAATAGAGGGCGGAAGAGCCTGATGGAGGAGAAAGTACAACAAGGGCCCCGACGCAGTGGGGATGTTTTCTTTTGGCGGACGGCTCGGGGGGGGGGACACCAGTGTCCGGCTGGACTAACATGTGGGCTTCCCAGGGCCCGGCGCCTGGCCCGGCGCCTGTACAGGGGCCTCCCGCGGCGCGCCGCGAACCAGGACGCGTCGGCATGCCGGCTGTCGACGGCCAGAGCATGGGGCGCGTGCCGAGCCCCGCCCCGGGGGAGCGTGCGTCACGCCGGCCCCTGACACCGCGCCAGCACCTCGCAGTCGCCCCCTCGAGAAACATGCTTGGCCAGGGCATGGGGACGTTGTGCAGCAACGGCACGCGCCTCTCCATCCCCCGCTATACCCTCAATCGCCCGCCCGCCCGCCCGCCCGCCCCCGGTCCTGGCCCACAATGGAAAATGACAACAGATGTCGAGCGATCAGCCGCGCGGTGGCCATATCATGCCCGGGTCACATTATTCAATGAAGGTCACGCGCCGGTCGTGGATGGCTTTTTCCCGCGCCTCGGCGCGCGGCTCCTGCACGCTGCTCCCCGGCACACGGCCCACCTCCCCCCCACCTCCCCCCCCCCCTCCCATATACCCCTCCCCCACGCCTCTCCCGTCTCCGAAGCCTCTCCCCGTTACCCCTCCTTCGCCTGCCGAGATGAGCGACGACGATCGCCGGCGCCGGCGTCGCCGGCGCTCTCGCAGCCGCAGCCGCTCTCGCAGCCGGTCCCGGTCGCGCACCGAATCCTCGCATCGGCGGTCGTCCGGTCGCTCGCGCGATCTGTCGCCGCGAAACCGCTCACGCGATCGGGATTCCCGCCGAAGCCGTCGAAGCGACTCGTCCCGATCTTCTGCACGTCGACGCCGGTCTCGCTCTCGCTCTCGCTCTCGCTCTCGCTCTCGGGACCGTTCGCGCGATCGTCGCCGTGACCGCGATCGTGGCCGCGACCGCGATCGTGGCCGCGACCGCGATCGTGACCGTCGCCGGCGCTCCCGGTCCCGTTCCCCCTCGCCTGTGAGCGAGCGCCGCCAGCGTGCCAGCCCCCCTCCAGCCGAGCCCCTCTCCCCCATTCGGTTGCCGGCTCGCAGCAACACCCCCACCGACGATGGCCGGAATGGTAGTGCGACAATTGGCCCCGCGGTACCGGCCCACCTGGCCAACGCGGGTGCCGCTGCCTCTGCTGCTGCGCCCATTGGGCCACAGCTGCCGGCCGGGCTTGCTCCGCCCGGGGCGGCCATCGGCCCGGCCCGGCCGCCCGGGCCCCTTCCCCCGGGACCCATTGCCGGTGCCCCCGGTCCCGGACTCCATCACAGCGATTCCGATGACTCGGACGACTTTGGCCCGAGCATCACCTCGGCCATGACCTTCGACCAGGCCCAGCGCCATGTGAATGCCGCCACCATCGACTCTTTCAACTCGGTTTCTCAGGCGCAGCGCAGTCGCTTGGAGGCGGCCGCCGAGCCAGAGGTGCGTCCTTGGCATCTGCCTGTACTTTCGCCCCCTCCTTCCCCCGGAACACACACACATACACACACACACACACGCGCGCGCGCGCGCGCGCGCGCGTGCGCCCCATCGTGCAATGGGGCCGGGACATGCTCATGGCTCTGACGCTGACTTCTTGCTTGCTCTGGACACTTGCTCCTCTTCTCCGCGCGGTCACTCCGAAGGATGATGGCTCCACCAAGCGTGAAGAGTGGATGACCGTTCTGCCGGACATCAATCTCTTCGGACCGAGTCGTAAGCGCCTCGGGTCTGGCAACCCCAATGCTCTCGGCGACCGATCTGTCTGGACAGACACCCCGGCCGATGTGGCGCGCAAGCAGCAGGTACACCGGCCCACGATGTGCCCTCTCGTCTGTCCTGCCACACACACGCGCACACACACACACACACACACACTTCCTCTCCTCAGTCAGCTGTAGCTCCTCACATATTGCTGTTTGTCCACACACACACACACACACACACACACAGGAAAAGCTCCAAAAGAAGGACGACGAGCCAGTCCTCGTGACCCTCCAACGCCCGGCGCTGGTGCGTAGACATGCTCCGCCTCCTGCTCGCGCACCCGCACACCCGCGCACCCACACACCCGCACACCCGCGCACCACCATCGCCTGACCGTATCCCCGCCACTTGGCCGCCTGTGTCGGGGGCCACCCGCGCACATCCGCCCACACAGGCCCCGACTCCCCGAGCCGGGCCGTCTCTCATGGATAGCTACTTGAAGAGCTCCACTTACAGTGAGCGCAAGACCGAGGATGCCCAGTACCGGCCCTTCAACCCGCTGGTCGACATGGCCGAGCCGACGCAAAAAAGCGCCGCGCAAAAGAACAAGATGATCCGTAGTATCATGGGCGACGCGTATGGCCACGCCGGTGGCGGAATGTCTGGCTTCGAGCGCGGATGAGAGAGGCCGTTCCCTCCCCCCTTTCCCTGCCTCGCCTCGTTCACCTGTGGTCGACGCTCAAGAATACACCCTTTGATCGACTGGATGTCGTCCTGCCGTCATTTGTGCGTGCGTGTGCGTGTATGTGTGTGTGCGTGCGTGTGGCGGACCGGGCCTGTGATTTTTCCCAGCGGTTATCCCTCCCTTCACCTACACACACACACACATACATACACACTTGGCCGCGGTCAGGGGGGTAGATAGGCGACCATGTACAAATTCCAGTGCGACGCGGTCCCCCCCCCCCCCCCAGCAATCAGCCCTCAAAGACGACACACTCTAAAAAGGTGGCCAAAGACCACCAAAAAAACTGGGGAGCACCGGGAATCGAACTCGGGACCTCTCGCACCCGAAGCGAGAATCATACCACTAGACTATGCTCAAATGCGGTGGCAGTAAATGCGCACACATACCACTCCTCTCAAGTGCCCACGAATGTGCGCTCCTTCCGCCAGCATCAACCACGACCCCCCCCCCCCCCGAGGCGCTGGCACCGCGGCCCAGAAAGCCGAGGCAAACACTCGGGACAGGACACAGCGCCGAGAGGGACAAGTGGCCCCGGGCCCGGCAGCGATCCGAGCGACGCGTCGGGGCGCACATCTCCCTCTTCTCCCCTCCCCCCCCCCTCCCACCTCCCCTTCGTCCACCTTGTCTTCCTACACCTCCCGAAAAACAGTCCCGCCGTTTGTTGTTTGTTCGTTTGCTTTTTGCCCGGCCCTCCCACCCCCGCCGGCCCTCTCTGCGTCGCGCCATGAGCTCCTACGACGACAGCTCTTTCCTGGCCTCGCTCGAGGCCCCGGATGAGGATTTCGGCAGCATGTTCCAGGAAAAGCGCTCCTCGTCCTCCTCTTCTTCATCGCGGCGGTCCTCCAGTCGGTCGGCGATCAGCGGGCGCGAGGCCGGCACTTCCGACGGTCGCCGTCGCCGGTCTTCCGGGAGAAGTCGCACTGAGCGGCGCCGTCGATCTGGCTCCCCGAGCCGGCGCCGATCCGGCGGCCGGCGCCGATCCCGCTCTCCGAGCACCGACAGCGACGACGACAATGCGGCTGGGGGCTCCTCCTCGGATGAGGAGCCGCGGTCGCGCAAGCGCTCCCGACGCAGCGATCGCACGCACGACACCCGGGACCGGCATCGCCGCCGTCGCCGTCGATCTGGCCGGCTTTCGGTGCGCTCTACCACATGTGCCAGGGGGGGGCGGGGCCACGCTCCTCTCCTTCGTGCTCTCCCGCACATCTGACCGTCGCTTTATGCTGCTCCCCCATTGACACACACACACACACACACATAGACGGACAGTGAGGGCTCCGACTCCGACTCCGACTCGTCGTCAAGCGACTCGGACGACCGGCCGGCCATGACGCCGGCCAGTGCGGCCACCACGGCTGCGCCGCAGCCCGAGCGCGAGGACTGGATGAACATGTCAAGCTTCGGCGAGCGGTACCTTTTCTCGTCGAAGGTGGTCAGTGCTCGTGAGGAGGTGCGGCGCTTGTGTTGCGCGGTTGCGCCCCCCCCCCCTCCCCCCACGCGCGGCACTGCGTGATTAGCCGCCAGCCCGGGCTTCCCCCTCTAACCAGCCTGCCCCTCTTCCTCCTCCTCCTCCTCTCCTTTCATGTTCACGCAGTCGGCAAATGAACTCCGGAAGCATGTTGGCTTCGTGGACATGGGTGGATCGACCCTCCGGCCGCGTGCCCGTACGTTAGTGCTGGCCTCGAGCCACACACGCACCAGCGTTCGTCCCGGGCCCCGGGCGTCTGCGCGGGTGACAATATCTCCCCCTCTTGCCTGCGTGCACTGACACTCTGCTGCCTTCCGTTGGCCACATAGCCGCGCCGGTGGTTTCCGATGGCGGCCTTTCCTGGAAGCAGCGGAAGCTCGCCCGCGCTCGCGCTCGCGCTCAGGAGTCTGGCAGATCTCTGACCGAAGTATGGCTCGAGATGGGCGAAGTGCGTACACACCTGAGCAGGGCAGGGGAGAGGAAAATCCCCCACACATGCAGACATTCTCACCCCTTCTCTCTCTCCCTCTCTCCCGCACACGTGCCGCACGCCAGACCCCCGAGAGCCTTGAGGAGCTGACTGCTGGATCGGCGACTGGTCGGCCATCAGACGAGCAGCCAGGGTGCGCTTCGACACCTTCTTGCGCCTTCCTCTCTTTCTCTCTCTCTCTTCGTACAAGCCCCGGTTCTAACTCTCCCGTTGTTCCCTTTAGTGTGCGCGTCTCCGCCGGCGCCTCAGGCCCGCGGACCACCGCCAGGACCGACTACACCATGGCCATCAAGGACAAGCTGCTTGCTCCATCGGCCACCTCGCAGTGCGTCCAGACCCGCCACACGGCTCCCCATCCACTAGCACACATGCACAAGCATATTTCCCTCTCCTCTCCCCCCCCTCTCTCTCTCGCTCGCCCTTTGCCTGACCCTGCCCGTCCGAACGCCTCCATCACCTGCACGACAACACCCAGGGGCGGGTATGGCGGCTTCGCGCCGGATCTGATCGACGGGACAAACCAGCGCCGCGGCGACCACATTTTCGCTCCGGTCACGGCTCCGTTGTCGGTCTCCCCGCCGGGGAGCCCCGACCGGGGTGCCTCGCCCGCCGGGCCTGTGTCTTCGGCAAGCGAGTCCCGGGGCTCCGGGCCTGCCGCCTCGGGCGCTGTGGCCGGGCCAGCGGCCCCGGCTGCCGCGCCTGCCGCGCCTGCCGCGCCTGCTGCCCTGTCGGTCACTGAGCGCAATAAGCTGGCAGCACGCATTATGCGTGCGGAGATGAAGGGCGACCATGCATTGGCCCAGACATTGAAGGCCAAGCTGGATCCGGGCCCGGCTGCTGCCCCGGCCCGGGCCTCGGCCCCGGCTGCTGACAGCCACCAGCCGGAGGGAGACTCAAACGTGCGGGTCATTTCGGCACCGATGGCCGCGCTGGAGCGCCTGCGTCAGCAGGATGCCGCCTTTGTCCCGTCTCAGGTCCCCGGGCCGAATCGCCCAGTGCGCATCCCTCCCACGATCACCCCGCCCGGGCTTGCAGCCTGCATCTTGCTTCGACATTGTCGTCGAATGCTCTGACCCGCTCCTCCCCTCCCCCTCCCCTTCCCCTCCCCCTCCCCCTCCCTTCCTCCTCTTGTCTCAAGGTTGCCACGCATGATCGCCATGGGAACCGTGTTGCCTATGCTGGCGAGAACTCCGCCGAGTCGGATCTGTCGACTGATGAGCTGCTGCGCCGGGAGCGCCTCCTGGCGGCCGTTGCCCGGCAGTCCTCCTCCCGCGATACCGATTCCCCCGACGCGGAGTTCGCTCGGAACATTGCGCGGAACCGTCGGTACACCGACAACTTGGATTACCAGGACGACAATGCCGACCTCCTGGCTGTGGCGCCGCGGCGGGCCCGTGCCAAGGATCACGCAAAGGAGACGGAAAAGTCGCGCCAGCGTGCCATCTCCGGTGCGTCCCCCATCCATCCGCCCCGGCGCCGCTGTCAGCAGCCCCCTCTCTCTCTCTTTCTCACACACACACACACACACATGCATGCATGTGCGCACCTACGCACCTACGCACGTAGACCTTCAGCGCGAGGAGCGCCTGCATAACCGCTGCTGGTATTGCGTCGACAGCCCGCAGTACCGGCCGCACCTGACCATCTCGTCCGGCTTCCACGCGTACCTTGCGCTCCCCCGGCAGGGTGCGTTTGTATCTGCCCTGCCCCGGAAGCGCAGGCGAGCATCCTCCACCTTGGGGCCACTCGCTTCCGCCTGTCCTTTTTCTTTTTCTGACACACCTCGGACACACCGGCTCTCCCCTCCGCCCCCGGCCCTCTGAGAGCAGGCCAGCTGGCTCCGGGGCACTGCCTGCTGGTTCCCCGGGCTCATGTGCCCTCATCGTTGGCCCTGCAGGATGATGATGACTGTTTGGTGGAGCTGCGCAACTTCAAGAAGAGCCTGATCCAGGCATTCGCCGCGCGCGGACTCTCCTGCTTGTTTATCGAGCGCGGCGAGGGAACCACGGAGGAGGGCTCCCGTCGCCGCCATGGCATCATCGAGTGCATTCCTCTGCCCGAGGAGGCATATGATGAGGCGCCCATTTTCTTCAAGGTACGCCATGTGCCCACCCCTGGAGAAGGGCGCACTTCAGTCCTTCCCCGCTAACCATGATGCGCGATCACATCCCGTCCTTCCGGCTCTCCGGCTCTCCGGGTCTCCTCCCGCCGTCACTTTGCCCGAGATAGAAGGCCCTCCTGGAATCCGACGAGACCTGGTCTCAGCACCGGAAAGTCATCGACGTGAGGCCACGCTCGGCTTTCGTGGTCAACCAGGGCGAGCACGCCGGTGCGGCCCCCACCTCCTTCGGCCTCCGCCGTGCGGTTCCCCCGAATCTGCCCTTCTTCTTTGTCGAGTTCAGCCTCGACTCCGGCATGGCTCACATCATCGAGGACCGTTCGCGCTTTCCGGATGACTTTGGCTACGTGCGTGTAGGGTCTCCTCCTCTGTGCCGGGGATTCCCCCCCCCCCCCCCCCCACACACACACACACACACACACACACACACACACACACACACACACGCTTTTCGCCTCTTTCTTTGCCGAGGCTTCTGGGGAAAAGCGAGGCCCCGCTTACACGGCTCTCTCACCTGCTTCATCACCTTCCACCGACAGTCGGTTGTCGGGGGCTTGTTGGATATGGACGAATCGGAGTGGCGCCGGTCACGCCGGCGCCCGGACGAGGCATCGGCCGCCGCCGAAGCCCGGCGCATCGGGGACTTCCGTCAGATTTGGGCCCCGTACGACTGGACGCGGGCCCTCCAGGCACCACCAGGTGCCGGATAATGTGGCACCTCCCTCGTGCTCCGGGGCTCCCCCTTGCCCCTCCTCCCTTTGCTTTTTTCCTTCTTTTTTTTTCCTGCAACCGACCCACACTCGAAATACACCTAGGGCCATGCAGCTGTTATCACCCCCCCCCCCCCCCACTTGGCCTGGACCGGCTGAGCGGACCGAGGCGCGCCGGCTTGCCGGGGAGGGGCTGGCGGTGCGTGAGCCCGCCCCGCCCAAGTGGTGTTCGGTCCCTTCCCGCCCGCGCTCCGCCTCCTCCCCGTCCCCAGGTTCGAAGCGGCGTGAACACCACACGGCCGTCCCCAAGCGGGCCGGCTGCCTCCAATAGATATATTGCTATTCACCCGCTATCAGCGCTGGTCGCCGCCAACAGGAATGCACGAGCGCGCTCCCCACGCAATCGTGCTGTCCGTTGGTAGACGCGGTCACACGGACCTCGACGTGATCCTTTCGCCGCGGGTCGGCTTGGACACAAAAACAAATTGCCCGAGGACTACTATTCACGCAAAGGTGGATGCCTCTGTGCCCCGGCCCCCGGGCCACCACCGTACTTGCACAGCCGTACCCTGGCGCATCAGCCAATCTCCCCGTCCCCGGTGTCCTCGGCAGGGAGGCCCTAACACACAGCGAACGGACACACGTACAACCCTCTCTCGCTCCGCGGTGTGCCGGTGTTGTGCCGCGAGCCTCTCTGTTTTGGTGTGTTGCTCGGTCCTTCGCGGGCATCGGGCCCCACCGTCGGCTGCCGTAGCTGGGAGGTGCATGTGTGGCGGAAGGGGGGCTCCCCGGCCCGGGGGCGAGCGGGCGCGGACGGCTCGGGGGGAGGGGCGAGGGGGGAGGGGCGGGGGGCGAGGGGCGCAACCAAGCCGATCGACGAAGCTCTTTTCAGCCTGGCCGCCGCTCAATCGGCGCCAGGAATGACCATCCCTCTTCTCCCCCGCCCCCCCCCCCCTCCCCCCTCCCCCTTTTCTGTCGCGCGCCGCACCATCGTCTCATCCCGCGCACGCCGCTGCCACTGTTTCCTCCTCCACTTCCTCCCCCATCCTGACCTGACCCCTCTGTGCGGGGCTCATACACACGCCTTTACGCGCGTGTACACCCGTGGGAGGCCCCGCCCGGATTCTCATCCCCTCGGCTCCCAGCCGTGCCCGTTGCTCCTGTCCCTTTCGTGGCTCGAGGGCGGGGTTCACCATCGCGGCAGGCGCTGTGTGCTGAGCACCACCGGATAAGCCCCCGCTGCCTTCCAGCCACTGGTGCCGAGAATAATGACCTCCGGCGCGACATTCCCCCTCCATGTGACCCGACCGGATGAGCAGGGCCTCTACCGCCTGCCGGCCGTGGGCACCACCCCATACGATGCGCTGACCTCCCTGGTGTCGTGGCGCCCGGTGCGCGTCCGCCCACCGACCGACCTGTCCTCCTACGATGCGCCGTATCCCGGGGACAACCACTTGGTCCGTCTGGGCACCGTCACTCCTGCCCCTCCTTCCTTTTCTCCTCCCCCCCCCCCCCCCCCCCCCCCCCCCCCCCCCCCCCCCCCCCCCCCCCCCCCCCCCCCCCCCCCCGGAATGGGGTCACCCGTCCTACTTCACAGGGGCGTGCCTGCGGGCACCAGTGGCGCTGGGGTGGCCGGGGAGGGCGGGGCCCCCCCGGAGAGAAAGGCATCAAGGCGCAGACCCCACCGGTGCGCGCACTCCCCCCCCCTCCCCCCCTTCCCCCCCCCCCCCCCCCCCCCGCGCCCCTCGCCCGCGTGCCCGCCGCTCGTCCCCTGTGAATGCCTTGCCACCTGACACCCAGATGTGTTGCATACGCGTGCACCTGTGCGGGCCTCAGTTCATCATCCATGTCCAGCCTGAGCAGGCGCCCTTCCCTCACACGGACTGCGACCCGGCAGTTGGGGCATTCACCGTCCTGCATGTGGACCCGAATACCGGCCGGCCGGAGCGCATCCCGGCGCCAAGCCACTCGACCGGGTGTCCGCTTGGTGGCCAGACGGCCGAGGCGAGCGCCCCCGTCACCGGGCCCTGCTTCCTGTGTGTGGCTCTGGCCACCGGGCCGCGGTCCGGGCCGAGGACCACCCAGTCGGGCCAGTCGCTTGTCGAAGAGGAAGAGCAGGCCCTCCTCTGGGTGCGGGCTAGCTGCCTGGCCTTGCAATATCAATACGCGCGGGCGGACTTCCCGACACTGCTCCAGTACCCGGAGGTGGCCACGCTGCTTGGTGTGGGCGATTTGCTGGCCTCCGCCCCAGGGGCGGATCCCGACCAAAGTTGCACCCTCTGGCAGCTGTTCACCCTGTCCCTGCGGCTGAAGTTCTCAATCAAGCGGGTGTTCGCCGTTCTCGGGCTCTTCACTTCGGCCAGCATCTTTCCCCAGCCGGACATTGGTGTGCCGCTGGCCATGGCCCATGTGCTGGTGGCCATCAAGGTGCGTTCCCTGGTCCTCGCCACGGAGCGCGGGTATCTCCCGGGCCCTGCTGGTGGTCGTGTGTGTGTGTGTGTGTGCGGGGGGGGGG